TTTTGGAGAAGATTATGCTTCTAAATGGCAATTCCAGAAACCATGTTATAATAAGATTTCCAAACTTTAATGCTGTCTGTGGTTAGATATAAGAAAATATCACTTTTTAAGTCTCAATATGCCAGATTTGAAATTTCCCATCGCTTCAAATAAGACTTCCTTGTTATAATATTTAAGTAAAGATATGTTCTTAAGCTTTTTGTATAAAATATTCTAATCTGGCAAATAAATTGATACTTGATACTATCTATATTGAACTTAAGTTTACTTTAAATGGAAAGTATGTAGAATTCACCATATAATTGGAATAAATCAGGAGACAGTGCAAAATTATGTTGGCTGAATCTTACACATTGTGATAAACCATTTTTCAGGGATGCCTCAGGCTGATATAACTTTGTATTTCAGTGTGGTCAGAGTCGCTGTCCTTGCAGTATAGCATTTTTTATTATCTGACTGGAGCACCAAACACATGGATTGAAATCCCACTTGAATTGCATTTGATTTAGTTTTCTGCTTGTATTCTTTACTACAGTAAATTTTTATTTCAATGTATTGTGATATGCAATTGAAGGATAAAAAATTAATGTTTTATTGGAAATTGTATAAACTTCAAGAATATCTGCTTTAAAATTAATGAGTTGTAAATTATAATGCAAAATAAAAAAAATTTGTGGTATATTGCAAGTAGTGACTTTTTGAAACATCTAAAATGGCACTTTTCTTTCAAAAGCTAAACTCACAAGTATAATTCTTAAAAATTAAGGTTTTATTTTAAAAAATAATTTTTCCTAGTAAATTCCTAAGAATTTCCCAAGGATCAAGAATCTATTTTTTTATGTAAATTCTACCTGTAATCATTCCTGGGAATTTCCTAGGAAATTCTTAGGAACCTAGTAATGTTTGTTCACACCTCTAGAGAGCTTAAATGTTTTTAGGAAAATTCCACTGACTCCTAAGAAATTCCTAGGAAATTCCCAGGAATCCTAGAAAGCTAGGAAACCATTTTGCAAAGGGAAGGTTCTTGCTTCCAAATTCTGGGGTGAAAGTTTGTTAAAATCAACCAAAGATTTCAAAGATAGTCTGCTATGGCACCAGGGCTTTGCCATATCATTTCAAAAGGGAAAACTTTGTGGTTCAAATAGCATTGACCCGATCATAAAATTCCTAGTCTGGTCTTCACGCATATTTGTATGATTGGGAATCTAGCATCTTCTCCTTATATGTTACTCTGTTTGTTTTTGTTTTTTTTTTTTAAATTAAAAAAATTATTCTAGCTGAAAGTCACTGTTATGGGACAAAGGATTTAAAAACTTAACATTGAAGAAAAATGTCTCTGTCAAGAAATTAATGTGTGTGTGTATTGGAAACTGATCAGCAGTGCAGCGTCCTTTATTCTTGTATTATGCTGCGTATAAGTGACTCTAATTCTAACTTGTTTAGAGTACATCCACCAATGTTAGCAGTAGGCAGTAATGATTCTAACACCAGTGCTGGAGGAAACGTTCAAATACATGAATACAATGAAGCAAGCAGGTGTGTCTGTGATATTATCTCTTCTAGAGTCATTACCATTTTTGCCAGCATCACAGAATAAGGATCCTGACATCAGCTTTCTGGGAATATTTTCCACCTGGAAACTACTTTTTGTGTTATTTAGTTTACAGTTATTTATTTTTGTATCTGTCCGTTACTAAATTCTGTCACTCAGTAATAGTCAGCCTGGGCATAAATAATTATGGTTTGGGCCCAACTCAGAGTGACTCCAGCTCAAGCAGCTAGACAAGGATTAAAATGACTTTGAGAAGGGCCCAAAACATGTTTATGCCCAAGAACATGAACTCTTTCACTATTAGTATGACACTGGAGGGCACTGAAAAAATCAAAACCAAGAAAAGAAGTGATAACAAAACAGTCTAAACAATTGTGCGAGCAGGCTAAGCTCGTATATCTATTTTAGCCCCCAAAATGCAACACAATGTCTGACCAAGTAATAATAACAATTACTATAAACCCTTTGGGCAAATATTTTTAATTTCAAATGCATTAAATTTTTAGTGTGAAATTGAATGTTTTTCTGACTCAAAACCTACAGAAAGTGGCACAGAGTAGAAACACTTATGGCAATAACAGATGCTGTTCACGATGTGGCTTTTGCTCCAAATTTAGGAAGGTAAATCATCTTTCCTTTCCTTGATTGAAATACTCTGACAAGCTCCCTATCTAGTGCTTCAATTTTCTATTTAAGACCCACCTTTCTTGATAAACCAATCCTCCTTTGGTAGACAAAAATGTCAAAAGTGAAAACATAGGTCTGGAAGAAACAGTATGCTGTAGTGTTGCTGTACAAATCTTTATCTGTCAAGAACAACCAGGAAAAAAAATGTCAAATGCCCTTGAAAGCTGAGTGAAAGTTTGAAAAAAGCCA